AGGAGGTCTGCAAAGTCGTATCCCTTGAACCTAATACCATCAGCATCTACCATGACGTCTTGGTCTTTGTTGCCACACAGGAGGAAAATAACCAGACATTGAGATATATCCTGCAACTGTGGTGGAGCCACGGACTGACCCTTCACATGAAGAAGAGTCTGTTCAACCTACGATCGGTGAAGCTCACCTGGTCATAACAAGATGGCAGCAGGCCCGCCCCAATCTCAAGCGGAAGTGTGATCGTTCCTTTTCTTCGCAAGAGCCAACGCGGATTTGATAGAGGGTTTTGCGAAGCGAAAGCTGTTGAATGGGACATGCTCGCAAACCAGATATACTTATGCGGCCTCAGAGATACGTTTGATGTAGACACTGACCACAAACCTCTACTGCCTCTGTTTGCAAGTCATAAAGTCACTGCGCCGTTTAGAATAGAACAAATGAGAGTTCGCCCAAAGGGGTTTGATTACAAGCTCAATTACGTACCTGGAAAGAGAGCAAAAGCACAGACTAATGAGGCAGATTATAACTCCAGGCACCCAGAACCACTCACGATGCAGGACTCCAGGGCAGTGCACCAGACAGAGTTCACTGTTCGTGAAGAGGAAGAATTGTTTGAGAAGGACATCAGGTTGAGAAGGACATCAGGGCAGTGGTGTAAGCAACACTGCCAGATGCATTATCATGGGATGAGGTGCTAGAGGAGACAAGTCAGGACCCGGAATTCAAAGAGCTTAAGAGTGCGATAACGAGGGGTACTTCACTGCACCAGAACGGCAAGCCCTTGGGCCCCAGTTTGACCCAGTCTTCACAGAGCTAGAGGTAGTAGGAGGATTGGTTGTGCAAGGGTCTCGCATAGTGGTGCCCAGTTCACTTCGTGACAAAGTAGTCCAGCTCGCTCATGAGGGACATCAGGGAGTTACAAAAACAAAGGAATATCTCCAGACCAGGGTCTGGTTTCCAGGTTTGGACCGGATAGTGGAAGCCCACATTTGGCACTGCCACCCATGTCAGGCAGTGACGCCAGCGAATGAGCGCGCGCCACTGCGGATGTCACCATTGAGCGAGTTAACCCTGGAAGAAAGTGGCCATAGACTTCGGGGGACCTATCAGCACAGGTGAATACCTTCTCGTTCTCATGTGCAAACACTCATGGTGTGTTGAAGTAGAGTTTGTAAGTACCACCAGCGTCCTAGCAGTACTACCGAAGCTGGACCGCATATTCTCATCGTTGGGAATACCTCTGATCGTTAGCAGCGACAATGGACCTCCATTCAACGGACATGACTTCCTGTACTTCAGCAAGTGCCTGGACTTCAAGCATGAGCGCAAGACACCCAAGAACCCTCAGGCCAATGCAGAAGCAGAGCGGCTAATGCGGGTGCTTAAGAAGCTATACCGCAAATGCCAGCTAACTGGGCAGCAAGAGGTGCACCGATTTTAACGCTGCTATCGAGCAACGCCACACGGGACCACCAGAACTGATGTTCCCTGGCCGCAAGTTCCACACAAGGTTGCCGGTAGGAGTCATCCCTCCACGACTGGATTTCGTGGAACTGTTTCAGCGCGACCTAGAGAAGAAGATGCAAATGAAGGCGCATGCAGACAGGAAGAAGAACGTGAAAACTTCGGATATATAGGTTGGGGATGCAGTGCTGGTGAAACAAAAAGCTGCCAGCAATGCCTCACTGCCCTATGAGGGAGAGCCGCTGGAGGTGCGACACAGAAAGGGAACACAAGTTGTAGTCAAAAGGAGAGATGGCAGCACAGTTACAATGTCGACAGCACATTTCAAAAAGATACCTCACCAGACTCCGGAGAAGGCAGGCAGATGGAAGTTAGGTCCAGACTTTGGTCACAAGCCCAGCTCAGAGCCCAAGGCAAGGGAGCTCCCAAGGCTGCAGGAACGTCCTGATAAAGTGCGGTTACCCGAGGTGGGGCTCTCAGATCCTCTGGACAGAATGGAGCCGCCCATGGAGTGCGTAGAGGAGGCACCTCAGCCACCTCTGCCAATGGTCGCCAGTGGTTGCAGCTCTAGGCCTCGTCCGGAGTGCGGATGGATACCTCAGGAGCAAATATCCGGACGATGTGTTACTGAACAGGATCCAGTGAACAAATAGTTGTTACTCAGTTAGACATGAATTCGCGTTTTTAGTTACTTACCTTAATTTCTGTACCTTATATGGACCAGTAACCAGCCATGTTTGTCTAGGCTTTTACTCTATTGCATGGGGGGAATGTAGTATCGCAGGCAGTTCATACGGGCCACTTAGTATACATGCTAGGAACTCTGGGACAATGTAAGACTCGGTTGCTTAGGTCATTGAAAAAGGGAGGCGGACATGTACACCAAGTTATTGACATTTTGATCTATTAAACTCGAGAATTATAAACTAATTACATGTACATATCATTAGCAAGTTAAAAATTCTGACATTACAGATGAAATAAGGTAAAACAAATTTTAAAGGTAAACTTTCTTGAAGAGATGAGTAAGTCTAAGTAAGTCACAGTTCTAGACCTCGGAACACTTAAAAGCTCCTGAGAACAAGATCTAAGTGTGCACTTATAACAGCGCAGGGCCCAAAGGTCGGATTGGAATGATAAAGAGCATACGACAACTTCTGCCTTTACATGTTAAGCTTACACTATAAATTGCTTAATCATCTCACTGTTTGACTATGACTATGGAGACACAGTGTGGGGTGACAAAAATAACGACACGTTTACGGGTCAGCTACAAGTTCTTCAAAACAAGGCAGCCAAGGTTCTGCTTAATTTACCACCAAGAAGTTCATCAACTAAGGCACTAGATCGATTTGTCCTAAACACCCTCTCAAAGAGAAGACACTTCCATCGCTGTGTTATGATGCAAAAATATCTGTCCGGGGAAATTGAATTTAAATTTGACATCAGACATAATGGTAGTCTTCATTCTTATCAAACTCGAAGAAGAAATGATTTACACCTTCTTCGCGTGCGCACCAATTGGGGCAAGCAAACTTTCGTTTTTCAAGCCTCTAAGGACTGGAACAACCTAGACAATGAGATTGAAAACAGCAAAACATAGTTCTTCTTTAAGGCGAAGCTTAAAACGTCGTAAATAATGCCCTATCTAATTGTTAAACTATGTTATATATATGTAAATATCAATTTTTATCTCTTTTCTTAGTTTTTATTTTTTAAAGTAGGTGATTTTTGTTGTTGTTGTTGTTGTTGTTGTTGTTGTTGTCATTTTGTCATTATGATTTGCAGGGCCCCACTTAAAACTGCTAAGGCTAGTGGGCTCCCTGGATAGATATTATTATTATTATTATTATAGATAAATACACATGAAGCCGTTGATTGCTTTATGAATTAATAGACAAATCTTAAAAATTATTACGTTGAGATACAGGTAACCAGTGCAGCGATTTCATTACAGGAGTTATATGGTCATATTTGCGAGTAAGATTGACCACATGCGCAGCGGTGTTCAGTACTAATTGTAGCCTATTGACTTGATACTTATAATAGGTAGTCCAAACAAAAGAGCATTATACTAGTCAATCGCAGACGTAACAAAAGAGTGAGCTAAGGTTTCACAGAACCTTGATCTAAGATTTTCTAATATTCCCTATGTTTGGAAGATGGCGTAGGGAGGTTTTACAAATCACACTAATATGTTTACTCATTGCTATATCCTGGTCAAGTATCACTTCCAGCACTCGTCAGCATAGAAGTGGTACTGTAGATTATGAGACTTAATGATGTCAGCAACAGGAGCGGTGTGTAATACATAAAGAAGGGAGCCCAAGACCAACTCTTGAGGAAACCCGCGTGTAAAGACTATGATATAACACGAAAAATAAAAACATAAGAAATTGAATGTCTGTTTTTAGTTCTTCATCACACCATCTGAAGTTATCACGAACCTTCAGATTGCTTTAAATACTCAAAAAAACCCACTTCAATTAAGCCAACCCCCCAAAAATCCTAGAATAAAAAAGTTTAAAGTTTAACCCCAAAAATCCTTTTATCATCCCTATCACTGATCATCCACTGTGGTCATTGGTCAGTGAGCAAGATAAATAAATAAATAAATAATAACTGTTTATTCACAAATCCAAATCGGAAAGTGAAAAGGAGATAAAAGAGGTTATCCCTTTCTAGTTTATCTCCTGATAATAAAATACATTAAGAAATAGATTATTTACAACTATTTAAAATAGTAACTATATATGTATATAAAACATCACACAGTAAAAGAACTTAGTGTTCACTAGGAAAATCTGTAAGATAACGTCTCAGTCTGTTCTTGAAAATATTCAAATTCTCCGCCTCAGCAACTTCCTTTGGAAGATTGTTCCACTTATCTATTATGCGTATAAAAAAAGAATGTTTAAAACTGTTTAAAGTTGCTGATGTAAGCTTAAGTTTAAAACGATGGTTGGCTCTTAAGGGCCGAAAATCATGTGCAAATGTGAAAAATGCCGAGGGATCAAGTCCATTAAGTCTATTTATTGTCTTATAACACTCGATAAGCGACGAAAATAATCTTCTTTGTTCAAGTGATGGCCATTTAAGGAGCTTTAGGCGTTCTTCGTAAGGCATGTCTTGCCCAATATTTCCAAGGGCGCATTTAGATGCTCTACGTTGTACTTTCTCCAAGGTGTTTAAGTCTTTTTTAAGGTGCGGACACCAAACTGGAGAGCAGTACTCGAGTATCGGACGTACTAGACTCTTATAAAGTTTTGAAAACAACTGAGGATTTTTAGGACCCACCGTTCGCCTAATGAATCCAAGCACACTATTTGCCTTATTTGCGCATTTGTTAGCTTGCATACTCCATGACAGGTTCGAAGTAATATAGATTCCGAGATCCTTAACTTCAGATACAGCAGATGGACGCGTTTTTGATTTAGCGTCGAAATGTCTTAATTTTGGCCTCTTTTTCTCGTGTTTTTTTTTTCATTTTTTTCGTTGTTTTCGTAATATTATGGTTATGTACGTTACTCGTGAGGATGTTAGACAAGATCTTGTTATCGAAAATTGAACCTATCGAAACCTCGCTGAACTTTAATGGCCACGAGTTCAAGAAGTTGCTAAGTAGAGTGGAAACGCTCGAGAAGATAGTGAAAGCTCTTCAACTAGAAAATCAAGCTCTGAAGTCTCAAATTAATTATGTTAATACTATGGTGAAAGAGAATTCAGCTCTTTTGGACAAACAGGAACAATACATGCGACGCGAATGTTTGGAGATCAAGGGAATACCTCTCAGTCAAGATGAGGATGCAAGTCAAATGGCTGTGCAAGTGGCCGACCTGCTTGACGTTGGCATGGGTTTAGAGAACATCTCTATCAGCCACAGGCTACCAAAGATACGTCCTTGGACAGACTCGAGCGGCACCGTACACTCGCCGTCTCCAAGTATTATCGCAAAGTTCGTCAGGAGGGATGTCAGGGAGAAATTTTACAGAGCAAGGTATAAACTCAAGAACAAGACAACCAGGGATCTTGGCCTAGCCTCGGACGAGGGAAGCAACATTTACATCGCTGAAAGCCTCACGCAAGCAAGGAAGAAGTTGTTTAAGTCGGCCTCAAAAGTGAAAAAAGGATCTGAAGTTCAATTATTTCTCTAGGACCAATGACCTATGGCTTTGCTTGTATTGTCGTAGTGAAATTTTTCCCTTTACCCCTTTAGAGAATCATGAGCTAGTTGAGCAACTGGTCTTCAACTCCAACACTGAATGCCTATTTGCTCAGACAATATCTCTAGACTAAAGTTGGGATCCTTACTAAGGTTTATATATCTACAGTTATGAAGTAATAGCCGAGCTCTCGAGCACGATGGAGCACCATAAGTAAGAAAATCTGTTTATCTATGCGTCCATAAAAATTGGTAGCTGCGTGACCGTACATCTTTCTGCCCGCCCGTCCGTCTGTCCGTACCACAGGGAAACCAATGTGAAATGTCACATTTCCTAGCTAGTATGGGAGCCTGTAACCTGTGTTTAACTTGATAATAGACATCCATAATAATGATTAATTGACAGCTGCCAAAACAGAATATCTGCCAAACCAAAATGACAGGACTGTATCGCAGGCTAAGGTGTCAACTCATCAAGGTTAGGTTTTTTTTAGGTTTTCTGCTGACCAGTCATTAGCTTTCAGTTGATTGCAGGTTCAAAGGCACATGGTCTTCTCATAAAGTTAAGAACAGATTTGTGGACTTTTGTAGTTGTTCCAAGTTAATGTTGTAAAGTAATTAAAATTATAAATGCATAAATGGGAGCTTTGCTTTTAGGTCTGGCTTAATGTTAGCCTCCCCCGCAGGCGTTTTAAGGGGAGCTCGTTTTTCATCCCTCCCCACAAACGCCTGCTCAACCGAAGACAACATTCCTTTCCCAAGCTTAGCCAATCACATTGTACTTTCCAAATTCTGGAAAGTTAACCTTGACCGCAAGGTAATCTGATAATGACTCGATCTGCATGAAACACTGGGAAAGCTTTCTGACCTCTAATAAATGTTAGATTCAGAGTAGCAAAAATAAGATTTAGTCAAATTTTAAAATACTCCATGCACTGCATAGCCTTAGCGAAGGAAAGAAAAGAAGGAAAACGGTAACACTTAAGGGTCACGTTTTAGTCGTGTTTAGCCTGTCAACACTTTATTGCACAACTGTTGATTGGTCACTTACCACGTAAATAAAACAATGGGAAAGGAATGTTGTTTTCGGTTGAGCAGGCGTTTGTGGGGAGGGATGAAAAACGAGCTCCCCTAAAAACGCCTGCGTGGGAGGCTAGCTAAATGTCTATATATTTAGCACTGGCAGATCCACATTATGGGTGCCCATATTTTTAGACCAAACTGAGCCCCCCCTCCATCTGAAAGGCTGCATCTGCCTTTGCTAAGTATGTGAGGCTACCGTTTATTTCCGGTTCCAGTTTAGTTTGGGTACAACACTGTATTGTTTACATTGCAAAATTCCCCTAGGGAATTTGCATGTGTTTTTCAGGAGGAGATTGAGTATTTTCTCTGGACAGTTTTGAGATGCAACAAACAGTTTTTTAGCGTACAGTATGTATGGTCTAGAGTAAACTAAATTAATTATGTTCAATTGTACATGTTGTGATTTGTAGCTCACAGTTAGCCTGCGTGGCAGTTTGCGTTTCTCTCGCACGTAAAACTCCCTTTCCCTTCCCTTTCAAACGTCTGCCACGCAGGCTAGCTCACAGTATGCAATGCAACTCCTAGTCATATAATATAGAGGCATAGTTAATTGAAGTGGAATGGTTGGGAAAGCCTTTGTTATAGGTTTTTGCTAGCTTTTTTGGACCTGACCATGTACAACATTCAATAGCATTTCTATCATTTTGAAGTTATTGACCAATAGAAACATTGCATTAATTTATTCAGTCATAATTTGTGAACAGAAAACAAAGGGAGAAAACGTCAGGGAGCTTCCAACATAACCTACAGCACCAATGTTTAAAACTTTGATCTTTGCCGGGTTTCCTTACTAGTCTCCTCTGCTAACTATGATGGAGGCAAGTTCTATCTCTCTTTGCAAAACTTGGAATGAAGTGCCGCGTGAAACGAGTTTATAATCTTGTCACACCACGTGAACCGCTCGTGGTCTTAGCCAACTGCAAAATTGGACAGCCCATCTTTCTATCTCGCTTACTATATATTGCTCGGTGACCATGACGTCATGAAGCGTTACGTCATGGAGCACTTTTTGTTTCCAGGCAACATAGACTTTGCTGCCGATGACCAGGACGCACTCTAATGTTGTATTTATGAAGGACTGATGGGTTTATGCAATGCCTGTGAAACAATGTTTATGATCGGTGAATCAGGAGCAATTTTCCATGCATATGACAGAGAACAGCAAGCACAACAAATGACTGGAAATCCTCGCCGGCGAAAATTTTCCACTGAAACTCCTCTGGAGAACGCCGACTAAAATTCATTGGTGAGCAAATCGAAGAAGACAACTGCGAAGCAGAGAACAGCTACTGCAATGTCGTCAACGCAGCCACCACAAACATGTACAGAGGCTGTGACAAAATACTACAAGTACATTGTAAACGAAACCGATGAAGAGAGGAAACACTGACTGTCAATGCTTCAAAAAGCGACAAGAAGATCAGTCAACGCTTGAAGTTTACAGTCAAAATTACCTTCGATGCAGTGACAGGCAGCAACAGCTACACGATCTGTACAATGCACGTCAAGAACATCTTTCCAACAGACTCAGAACAGCCGATCAAAATTTCACTTACAATTTTCATTACTCTTCACAAGTAATTATTATTACACATTAAAAATAGTATGGGTTAGCTGCATATTCGCCTGCAGCTATTCACTATCACACCCATTTTCTTTGACTATAATTACCAGGACCTGAACAATCGATGGCAATCGATAACAATCGATATCAATTAATCGATTGATATTGATAATCGATGGACAATCGACAAACCCCACTGTTATGCTTCAATGAAACAGCTGGCAAATTATGCAAGGTGTGAAATACTTTATGCGTGATGTAACGTTTGGAGCCAACAGTTTAGCTAAGTATTCGTAAAATATGTTCAATGCACACATTTTCTGTTACGTGGGCGTCTGCACAGACATATAAAGAAAGAAGAAGAAAAAGAAATAACAATGAGCTTAATCGTGTTTGAACGACGACTGCGTCCCAGGTCAGTTGAATCTTTGCAATGAACTCGGAGCAAAATCGATCAAGTTTGTACTACTGACAACGAGATATGTTAATTGTCTTAATTGTTTTTCACGGAGCCACATCGATGAACAATTCTCAAACTTTGCTACTGAGGGTTAAAAATAATATACAATCTGCGTACACTCCCGCGATACCTGAAGATACGGACACATGAATTTAGTGCCAATCGGTGGCAATTGAGTGTGATTATCGATTGATCTTCGATTGGCCGATGCCAATCGATGCTAATCAACAGTAATTAATCGATTGATTTTCCGATCATCGATTTTCATCGATTGTTCAGGTCCTGTAATTACACATGTAGGAAGGTCAAATGGGATGAACACAGGACCTATGAAATATTGGCTACCCTTAACTACATCTCCGGCCTTCCAATATTAGAGCCAGTGCTGAAACTCACCCTCCCTATATATCTAGCCACACAATTTACTCCAATTCTCTCCCCCTTCCATCCCTGACATTTTATGGGCCTCCCCCGTGCTTCATGAGGTTCTGCGATACACGTATTTCTAGTTTAATTACCGGTTGAGATCCCAAAGCTTCAACCAGTTGCAAGAATACTTGAGACACTGTGCGTTACTTGGGCTTAAATGGCCTGTCCATGATCTTGTGCTTGTGATCCCTCCTTCCCTTGACAAAGTTGCTGGCAATACAAGACCATGCTAAAACTTGAAGTAACATTTATGGAGAGGAGGGAGGTGGTGTGTGTTATATCTCACAGATCTGTGACTAGCAGCGATTTGCAGCAAGAAAGGCCCGTTTATTGTCAAAATGTCTCAACATTTTTGCAACTGGTTGTTGCTTGCTGGAAAATTTCCCTTCATTACCAATAATTAAAAAATAACCAGGTAAGATTTGCACTGACATGAATAAATGACTTACCAACTTGAGTTTCATGCTGCTCAAATTCCCATTTTTCTTTTTCCTCCCTCTCAAGTGGAGTAGGAGTCTTTTCTGTAGTTGTATCACAATGCAGGAATATTAATCAGAAATAAGAGTATTAGTGGTTAAAAAAGTTCTGGGACAAACATAATTATTTAGTTATAAAATATAAGGCTTTCATTCAGTGGTTTCCCCACTTACTTAAAGTTTGTATTAGTGGTTGTAAAAGTTCTTGGACAAACTTAATTATTTAGTTATAAAATATAAGCCTTTCATTCAGTGGTTTCCCCAGTTACTTAAAGTTTGAACTCTGGTTACTTTATAATGGTAGAAACAATGACAGTGGATATAATGGCATGTTTGTCTCTAAGTCTCTGAGTTTTTTAAACTCCGGCAAAACATTAAATGTTTTGCCCGAGTTTGAAAGCAAGTAAATTGATACAAATTTTGTATCATGCTGCCAGTCATACTGAATAAGAGCCTAACTTCCTAAGACAGTAATGTATATGAATGGATGTATTCATTTAAAAAATAATAAAGAGAATAAAAATAGATACCATGTCTTGCTCTCCTTGGCTGCCATCACCGCGCGTTACCCACAGATTATTGCGGGAACAATGGCTGCCATCATTGGTTACCAGTTCCGAATTCAGAAAAACACGCATACTCTTCCTTAGTAGCATAATTGTAGTTCAATACGAAGCTTAGCCGTGCATAAACAAAGCTCTTTAATTCTCCTGAGACAAAATGCCCGCCGCGTGACAAAAGGGAGCTTTAGCGTCGACGACAGCAACAGCAGTGAAAACGTCACTTTTAAAATGAATTCCCGTTTCAAACACTGTACACTGTCGCGTTTATTCCAATTTGCTGAAAATGGCAAATGTAGGCGAATTTCCCTGGAGTTGATTTCTTGAGAAGCGCACTCAACTTTAGAGAGGGAAAAAGAAATTCGTCGTCGCTTATTTACGTCCTCCATAAAACTATTGCAATTAGGCATTTTCACTTCA